ATGAGCACGGAGCTGATGGCCGACGTGCTCACCCCCAAGTACAAGAAGAGGGTTTCGCCGGCTTTGGGCTTGGAGAGCACAGGTGGGGACGACAGGTACCTCTTCAATTCGTCGAATGCTTCCTGGCACTCCGTTGTCCACTTGAAGCTGTTTGCCTTACGCATGATCTGGAAGAAGGGGAGTGCCCTCTCGGCTGACCTGGAGAGGAAACGGTTTAAGGCCGCCAGGCGCCCCGTCAGTCGATGTACCTCCTTGACATTGCGGGGCGGCTCCATGTTGATGATAGCCTACGTCTTCTCCGGGCTTATCTCGATGCCTCTCCGGCTGACCATGTAGCCGAGGAACTTGCCACCCTGGACGCCGAAGGCGCATTTCTTGGGGTTGAGGCGGAGCCTGAACTCCTTCATTATCTCAAAGATTTCCCGGAGGTCGTCGGCGTGGGAGGTGGCCTGCCTGCTCTTGACGATCATGTCGTCGACGTACGCCTCCATCGTCCGGCCAAGGACCGCCCTGAAGATCTTGGCCACCATCCTAGTGTAGGTGGCGCCGGAGTTTTTGAGTCCGAAGGCCATGACGAGGTAGCAAAAGATTCCCTCTGGGGTCATGAATGTCGTCTTCTCAGCGTCATCTTCATGCATGGAGATTTGGTGGTACCCCCTGAAAGCATCGAGGAACGACATCAACTCGCACCCCGCCGTCTCATCCACCAGCTGATCAATGTTGGGGAGAGGGAACGGGTCCATGGGGCACGCCTTGTTCAGGTCAGTGTAGTCAACACACATTCTGAACGTCGGCGGTTTTTGTGCGAGGACGACGTTGGCCAACCATGTCGGGTACTTCACCTCTTTGATGTGTTTGATTGAGAGGAGCATGGTGACCTCTCCTTTGACGAAGTCCCGCCTGTCGGCGGACAAGTAGCGCCGCTTCTGTTTGACCGGCGCGGAGGCCGGATCGACGGTCAGCCGATGAGTGATCACCTGGCGGCTGATGCCTGGCATATCGCCCGGGCCCCACGCGAAGACAACGGCGTATGTCCGTAGGACGAGGAGGATGGCGCCTCGTTGGTCCTGGGGGAGTTGCCTTCCGACCCTGAGAACCCGCTCCGGCCGGGAGGTATCCAGGGGGATCTCCTCGACCTCCTCGACCGGCTCCGCATGTGGCCTCTCCTCGTCCATGGCGACGGCGGCCGTAATGGTGTCTATCCGCTGTCCTTCCCTTTCGGCCGGCCTCGTTAACTTGAGGTAGCAAGCTCTGGCTATCCTCTGATTTCCTCTGGCGTAGCCGATGCCGTCATTGGTGGGGAACTTCAAGCATAGGTGCTTCATGGAGATGATGGCCTCCAAGTCCTCCAGCGCTGGCCGGCCCAAGATCAGGTTGTGGGCGCACTGGAGGTTGACCACCATGAACTCCATGTCAATTTTGGCATGGTGGGGGCCGTCACCGACTTCCACGGGGAGGACTATCATGCCCTCGGCGTCGATAGAGTCCCCGGTGAAGCCGGATAACGGGGTCTTGATCGGCTTCAGCAGAGCTCTGTCCAGCTTCAGCTGCTTGAAGGTGTCCAAGTACATCACGTTGACGGAGCTCCCCGTATCGATGTAAGTACGGTGGATGATGGAGTCACCGATCTCACATCGGATGACGAGGGCGTCCCTGTGTGATTCCGTACCCGGAGGCAGATCCTTGTCAGTGAAGGTGATCGCCTCCGTTCGCTGCTTCTTCGGCTGGGGGGGAACGTGGGACACCTCCCCAATGTAAAGGGATTGGGCCCATTTCTTTCTCTGAGTGGCGGAGTCCCCCCCAGTGTTTCCACCTACGATGAGGTGGACGTGATTCTTCTTCGGCGAGGGCTCTTCGAAGTCCTCGTCGTCGCTGAGTCTACCAATCTCCCGCTTCTTCGCAGAGGGTTCGCCCCCAGGTTTGCCGGTGTTTACCCAAGTGTTCTTGCGTGGGCCACCTTTGGCAAACTGGGAGAGTTCCCCCTGGCGAATAAGGCGCTCGATGGCCTTCTTTAATGTGATGCAATCGTCGGTGTTGTGCGACGAGTTCTTGTGGAACCGGCAGTATGTGCCGCCCTGTTGGATGGCAAGGATCTCCTCGGCCGGCCGAGGAGCCTGCTCGATGAGGCCGTGCTTCTCGGCATAATCGAGGATGGTGCCGACCGGGTGGGTGAGGGTTACCCCCGGCCGTTCCAGCCTCGGCCGCCAGTGGCGGTCTTTCTTACTTTGTCCACCAGAGCCGTGGCGGCCCTGGGCACCCTGGCCGGCCGGGGACGGACCCGGGGCCGGCGAAGGATTTGTCTTCCTGGGGGATGGCCCCCCTCTCTCTTGTGATTATGGAGCTCGTCGGCGTCGGCATACAAGCCTCCGCGTTGGAGCGCCTTGGCGTACGACCTCGGGGGGTCGGTGATGAGACTCCTGGCGTACGGGGAGCTGCGGAGGGCTCCCTGGTACAAGGTGAGGAGGGTGCGCTCATCGGCCCCCTCGACCTCCTCAGTCTCCCTCGTCCACCGATTGATGAATGACCGGAGGGACTCCTCGTGCTGCTGCTTGACGTAGAGGAGGTGGGTGAAATACTTCTTGGCGCGCTTCCTCCCGGCAAAGTGAGTGAGGAAGCGTTGGGCGAGATCCTGCTACGAGTCAATGCTTCCTTCTGGCAGTCCGTTGAACCACTCGTACGCTGGCCCCTCGAGAGTAGAGAGGAACCAGCGGCAGAGGTATTCGTCGGACGCGTTCACCATCAGCATGTTGTTCTGGTAACGGCTGAAGTGCTCCTGGGGGTCTGATCGGCCATCGTAGGACTTGATGGCGTTCCCCCTGTACTTCTCACGGATGGGGGCCGAGAGGACCCTGTTGGTGATAGGGGTCCTAGTCCTGACCTGGATGATGGGGTCACCCCGCCCTTCGGCCAGCTCCCTCTCCAGGGCGCTAACTTTGTTCATGAGCGCGTTGAGGTCGGGGTCGTTGGAGGCGCCGGCCGTAGGGATGTTGGCCGACTGCTTGGCCTCCAACTGGGCCAACCTCCTTTCCAGCTGGGCGATGACCTCGTCCCGGGGGTCCCTATCGGCCGCAGCGGCGCCCGGCTGGTTCCTCAGGCGCTCGTTGTGAGCCGCGTTGATCTGGTGACGCACGTCATTCTCGTGCAACTTCCCCTTGCCCTTGTCCGGGCGGGGCTGGTCCGCTGTCCGGGACACAGACCCCAAACTTTCCCTTGGCGAGCCAGGACGAAGATCACCAATCCGTCCCGCCATCCTCTCCGAAACCGGACGACGGCGCGTGTCACCTAGCCTATTGAAGGCAGAGGCTTTTCCACGCGCTGGGGTCTGCCCGGGCCGAAGAGGGGAAGCAGGGTGGGAGTGGGACGACGCCGTGTCCTGGGCCACAACCCCCTCATTGTTGCCTATCTGGACGACCAACGGTTGGGGATGAGGAGGTGGAGTGATGTTTCCCCCGGTCCTTGGCAAGAGTGCGCTGAGGACGGTGGGGTTCTGAGCTAGGCTGGCGATGATGACCGACAGCGCGGCCTGGACCTGTGGATCCACGGACGGAGAGGCCGCGGCCATAGGCTGGGTCGGGGCGTGATCCGTCTTTTCAGCTCGCTTCTTGTCCAAGCCGAGGTGGGCATCAGGGGCGCCGCCGTTGAGTTGGTTGCGGAGGTCCATTGTGAGGTTGAAGGCCTCCTGGAAGAGGTCCCCTCCGCCGACCTGGTCGGCCGTGGTGTCCTCATCGTGCTCCCTGGGCTCTTGGTCCTCAGGGATGGCTTTGCTGACGAGGTTGCGGTTTGACTTAGTTCTCCTCATGATCAGTGGTTAGCTGTGCTTGGTAGCGACGAAGGGTGCTAACTTGATTGTTCAAGCTCTCAACGAGAGCACCAAATGATAGAGTATATCTAGAGAGAAGTGAGAGCTAGAGAGAGAAGTGCAATAATATGCTTCAATATAATGATTTTGTAACCCCTATAACTACTCCAAAAGGGAGTATTTATAGAGAAAATTAGGGTTGGGCTCCCAAGCCTTGGGCTTGGGAGGCCCATTTACAACTGGACCGCTACTGGGCCGAATACAAAGCCACTAATGGGCTACACAAATGAGTAAGTATAAAATCCGGTTCTGTGAGGTCTTCTTGGCCGACGAGGGCGTGGCCGACGAGGGCACGGCCGACGGGGGCACGGCCGACGAGGGCACCCGGGTTCATTGGACTCAGGGCCATAATCCGAGTTGGCCCCTTTTCGGCCGACGGGGCGTCTTGGCCGACGAGGGCGCCACTCTGTTGTCTTGTGCTTTCTGCTCTTCCGAGTATGTGGGTCCGGGGGCTTAGACCCATATACTCCATCAATAATGTCATAAGAATGTCATACGAATGTCGATGACAATAAAATACATTCCTTATTTCTTTGCTTTCAGTTTGTTCGTATCTACAGAGCACTATCAAATAGTTTGACAATGTTGATATCATTTATCAATACTAAAAACAATGTCACAATTTTGAAATGAATCCACCTGATAGGAAAATCGCTCCCAGATCTAAAAGAGAAGAAGAGAAGTAGAAGAGAAGGAGGAGGAGGAGGAGGAGGAGGAGGAGGAGAAGGAGAAGAAGAAGAAGAAGAAGAAGAAGAAGAAGAAGAAGAGAGAACGCAAGTTACGCAGCAGGGCCTTCAGCCGCACCGCCGCACCGCCGCACCGTCGCACCTCCACACCGACGCATAAAAAATACTACTGCACCGCTGCAACACCATTTTAGCTGAGCACCTCCATTATTTTGACGGTGCTCTGCCTTGCTTAGGTGTGGAGGAAGGAGAGAGATGATTAGGCGAGGCTATTGCCGAGAGATAGCTGTGGTGCGTTAGGAAAAGGCCAGACGGGAAAATAGGGTCAATTTTGGAAACACGGAAAAATTTGGTCTTATTTAGGAGTTAAAAAAATCAAGGTCTTATTTAATTACATACGGGAAGTTAAGCTCCTATTTAGCACAGTTTCTCATATATTTTCGGGTGTCACCTCTTTAACATTCAACACTGTTTTGTTTGACCCTAATGCTACTGGAGTTCTCTTTAAAATTCCAAATCTTGAAGAGCTGGTGTTTGATGAATGTGATGGCACTCATAATTTTGTGATCAGTGCTCCAAAGTTTAAAAGCCTCACTTTCACTGAGTGTTCGAAGGTTACTGATTGGAAGTGGTTTGAGCTTCATGTTCCAGTGATTAAGACTCTTCACTTATCCTATTCTTTTGCGGTGAGAATCTTGCCTTTCATAAAATGTTGTTTCGCTCAGAATGAATTGTGGTGATACATCTGATTTTTAACTCGTCTTGTTACTTTGTTAGAGTTCTTGTTCCACTCAAGGTTAACTATTTGTTTAGTTTTCTCTTATTTTTACTTTATTTTAGTGCGAACATGAGGATGAATTATATGTGCAAGAGAGGTTCCCAATAGCAGTAAATCTGCAAGTGATTAAGCTGGACGAGTTATGTGATAAATGCGGGAAGTGCTTGCCTTTTATCAAAAAAAAACTTCTTAAAAGTCCGAAGCTCTGCCAACTGGAAATTGACATAGCAAGCAAGATTCTAATATCCAACAATTGCCCTATGACCTATGTGTTTGATGATTAAGATCAGGGTATTTATGTTCTCATATTTCTTTACATTGTTGTGCACTTGTGTTGTTGTCACAGTGGGGAGAAGATGATCCAAGTATTTTGGAAAATTCAGACAGATGGTTTAGTGATCAAGATCTGTGCCAGCTTAAAACAGTTAGGATGAAAGAATTCAGAGGATCAAGAGTGGAAATGCTCTTGATCAAGAGAATCCTTTCGAAGGCTCCTGGGCTTGAGGAAGTTGTTATTATAGAATCATATTATTATCGTGGCCCTCCGGCTCTCAAAATCACAAAGGAGATGATCAGATTCCCTCGCGCGTATCCAAAAGCACAAATTATCTTCTTGGAAACCAAATAAAGCTGTAATGGATATTATTGGAAATCCAAAAGCACAAATTATCAGACCGGTTGATTTGTTCCTGGATATTATTAGGCCATTTGCAGCAGTTTAGAATGCTAGCTCCATGGTTTCTGGTTGTGCCATATAAGAGCACAGAATTTTGATCACTGGTTTTGTTAGATAATTTCCTTTGGTGACTGAAAGTTTCTCTGATTTTATTTTCATGGTTGAAACTTGAAACTTATGTGCTCTCAAAATTCGAGCAATTTATTTCCCTTACCTTATCCTATTTACTGATTGTCATCAAATTACATCCTATTTCTTTACCTTTTATCAAAACAATGACTAGCGTTTTGTATGTGCAAGAGCTCATGTCAAATATAAATTGAGTGAATTAGTACTATTTTTCACTGCATTCATGGGAATACTTATGTAATCATATTATATACGAGCTCATGCTTAGTATTTGGCTGTGTTTAAAGTGAAATGACGCCAAATATTTTAGATCCTTTTATGATGCAAGTATATGTTGCCGTTAGAGGAGGTGGAGATCCAGCTCCTAGCAATAATACAACTACTCCAGCAGCAGCAGTAGTTCAGAAGAACACTCCCCCTAGCTGCTGCTGTGAACAATAGCAAATAACTTGTGGTGTGGCTCTTCACTTGGTTATCTGTTTGGTGGTTCACAGCAAAAGCATTGAACCTCTTAAAATAGTTTCTTGTGGGAGTCACTTACTCTCTCTACCTGTCAAGAATATAAATTTTAAAAAATGTCTGATGTCTGAACTTTATGTTAAATGTAATACTTTGGTTCACTTGGATTTGTATTTGATGCATTTTGCAATTGATTTCTAAGTGTGAGATGATAAAATGTTATTGCAAAAAAGATGGAGCCGGAACTTGATTTGATTGGTGTTGATGCGGAGTAGTTTTTAAGTTTAATGTTACTAAGAGATAAATGAAAATATAAAATGAACTCATTGATAGTTGAAATGATTCAAGATACAAATGATTCAGTTTTTTAAAAGTAAAACATTTTAAAATTTCAAAATAGCAATACTATGTTTTTATTCTCTAAACTGGAGTATCATCGCAGAATTTAGAAAACATTGTCATGTTTAAAGCATGACAATGTCAAAAAATGGCAAAACTACCATCTTTAGTATATGACAACCGAACGAGTACAACAATCATGGACTCTGATGAGCGGTCCGCCAAATACTGCGATGCAGAAACTCTACAACATTTGGGTAACTCGAATTATGGTTTTGGATTTGAAAATTGGGTGATTAACAAAAGTTAGTTAAAACAAACTAGAATTGATTAACGAATCGAAAGTAACAGAAATTGCTTGAAATAGTACATTTTAGTTCCCGGTTTCACAATTTTCATAATCGACCATATCAAATAGCTGTTTTTAATTTTTCGATACAAATGTCGCGGTTCCTTAAACCGCATCAAATGAACTTACGTTTTCCGAATAAATGTTGTGATTCCTTTAAGATTGGAGCAAATAGTTCAAAATGTTAACATATTATTGCAGATACTTCCGTAATTGAAACAAAAAGGTAGCAACAAATGACAAACAATGTAGTAGTGATTGTCGTGAAAAGAAGTTTGTATTTTCCTTTTATAGATGTCTCAAGGTAGAGTTTTCACTTCTATAAAAAGAATTCACTTTACTTTTGTGTAAAAAGTAAGAGTACACTTTACTTTTGCCTATTTTTGTTTGATTTGACATAATATGTCTTAAGGTCAAATATGAAAAGTTCTTTTTGGGGCGGAAGAATGTACTTCCCCATTTTTAAGTACGCACTGTTTTAGCAAAATTTTGATAAACTAAAACTAATTAGAATAGAAATTATATATTGATCGGGTTTCGTACAAGAACGGTGAGGAAAATGACAAGAACAACAAGAAGGGTGTCAAGTAAGCAAAATAGAAGGTATATTGATGTGTGATTCGAACGAAGGTCCCCTGATAACATAGAGCTTGGGTCTATTTATAAGAGAGATATTTAATGCCTTTTGTCCGTTGTTGACGGTTTCGACCGTTACGATGACATCAAAATCGTCATTACGTCGTCATAAATTCTGGTCAGCCATTCGAGTAACCTACGTCATAATTACAACAATAACTCTCATAATATACATGAAACCGCTAGAATTAATCATCTAGCATTAATTCTAATCAATACGTCATTAATTGCCCGGTCAAGCTTTCCTTGTTATCAAATTCCTGCACCAACAATTGCCCCCTTTCGAGAAGTTGAGGCGTGTCATGGATATGTCGACCTATTAAGCATCAACTTGTCGAAAATTCAAAAGTACACTTCACATCTTGGTTCATTACATCTATTGGCCCATCACTGACTTGATGTGGCGTATCGATCAACTCGTCTAACGAAAAGTTGCCATCTTTCTTTGGAGAGACTCTCATTGACTAAAACAATGAAGACTGAAGGCTGGCACTTTGTCTTCTCCCCCTCCGAAATTGCGCTGACGAAAAGTTCGCAACGTCTTTCATGTAAATGTCGACACTTCAGCTAGAAAAGGGAACATCATTTGTTGTTGCAGAAGACGAGTTGGGTTGCGCAAACGTGGTCCACATCCTGAGAAAACTATGAATAATGTTTCATTTGTGTTTTTAGCAATATTGTCGACATGAGTGTGTGTGATTTGTGTCAATGTCGTTTGTATTGTGTCCTTATGTTTTGGAGCTTCTGTTGTCATGCTTTTGGAGCACATGCTTCTGTTGTGTATTTCTGTAGTTTTGTGCTTTTGTCGTTTTGGCCAAAGCGTGTAAGGCGCATGGGTTTGTTTTTCATACTTCAAATATGAATGGCCCGTGCTAACCTTACAACCCCTTCTTAGGTTGTAGGGGGTATGTGTGAGTGCCTTCTGTTGGCACGTTCAGAGTTTGTAGTAATCGTTTCCAAAGTGCTTATTGCGTCGATATCCTGCACGAAATCATGTCGTCAAAGTTTGGCTGTTGGCTTTTGGGAACGGCCCTCCGATGCTTAAGTTAGTGAATATTTATATGTAAATAAAAGTAATAAATTAAAAGTATGTATACAAAACTGGACAAATACTTATCATCAGGACTTGTCTGAAGTCAGACGATTTCAATCATGTCGTCAAGTTTATCATTGGGCGACATGCCCCCGTCTCAGACGATTTCAGTCATGTCGTCTGGTTTATCCCGTCACAGGAGTGACAACAATATGTAAAAGAAAATACCAAACTAAAAATGAAACAACTTTAAGGGTACCGTATTGCAGCTCTTCAGAACCTGTCTGTCTTTGGACGACATGCCCCCCGTTTGACGATTTCGATCATGTCGTCTGATCTATCTCGTCATAGGAGTGACAACTATAAAAGAAAATAATAAACTAAAAATGAAACAACTTTTAAGGGTACCGTATTGCAGCTTTTCAGAACCTGTCTCTCTTTGGACGACATGCCCCTCGTCCGACGATTTCGATCATGTCGTCTGATCTATCTCGTCATAGGAGTGACAACTATAAAAGAAAATAATAAACTAAAAATGAAACAACTTTTAAGGGTACCGTATTGTAGCTTTTCAGAACCTGTCTAGAATCGGACGACATGCCCCCCGTCTGATGACTCCGATCATGTCGTTTGGTCTATCTCATGATGACTTGTTCTTCAGGTCTCGTATATGGGTTTCCATGCTTGTAATCATGCCTCTTGGGAGATTCCGATTTGCCATGCCCCTGTTCGTGCTCAATTTGTCATCGACGGGATCGTAAGTCTTCTTTTAGACGAATGAAAGCTAACGTCTTTGCTTGGACATCTTCGAAGGACCGACAAGGGTATTTCGTCAGTTCGTGGTACAGCTCTGAATCTTCATACAAACCTCTTCTGAATGCCTCGATGACTGTTGGTATGTCACATCGGGGGATTGACACCTTCTCTTTGTTGAAGCGGTGGAGGTAATCCCTTAAGGATTAGTTGCGTTTTTGGACCACACCGTAGAGATCGCTAATCTGCTTCTCCAGAACCCGACTGCTTGCAAATTGCTGGTTGAAGAGGTTGACTAACTCCGCAAATGAACTGACGCCTTCATTCGGCAGATTGACGAACCACGTCAGCGCAGGCCCTGTCAATGTTGTCCCAAATGCCCTGCACATACAAGCCTCCCGCTGCTCTGGTCTAACCGAGGTGGTAAGCATCTGCTGCTTGTATTGAGCGACGTGTTCCAGGAGGTCGGTAGTTCCATCGAATAATCTCATCGAGGGGGAAACAAGCTTCCTTGGAATCTCAACGTCTGTGATGTGTCATCCGAAAGGGGAATCTGCGTAGCATGTCTGTGAAACGACGTCCAATGGAGGTGGCACTCCGGGGATACCATTGATCTTCTCTCGCATTTCCCTCAGCTCTTCCATGATGACGGATAAGGGGTCTGTCGGATATGCTTGCATCTGTCTTGTCGTCGAGATTGGTGGCGTCGTCACCCGGGTCACATCATGCCTGGTTGGTGAGGATATGACGATGACTTCAGGCTCTTGTTGTCTCTGGTTGTTGATGTCGATATGTAGAGGGATGTCGACGCGGTCTGGAACTCGTCGTCTCTGAGGTTCCGGAAATAGACTGTGAAACATGTTCCTGCTGGGATTCTGGAGAGGAACAGATCGGTTTGAGGGCCCCGGATCTCCAGATGCGTCGGCTCCTGAATGATGGATAAAAGGTTCGATCGAGACTGGAGTGGGGTCAAATTCCAGCCTCGTGGCTGCTGTCATGGCATCACCTCTTCGGCTAAATCTTGAGTTGGAAGCTATGGACGCCACCGATTGCACTTGAGAGCGCAACACGTCATTTTCTCGTTGGATAAAAGCAATCCACTGAGCCATTTCACACCAGATTTCTTCCTTCATCGCCTCCAATTGCTTATGAAACTCGGTCATCATCTCGTTGCTCGTTCCTTCCATGGAGAATAAATTTCATGCACGATTTCCCACAGACGGCGCCAAATTGTTTTAGCAAAATTTTGATAAACTAAAACTAATTAGAATAGAAATTATATATTGATCGGGTTTCGTACAAGAACGGTGAGGAAAATGACAAGAACAACAAGAAGGATGTCAAGTAAGCAAAATAGAAGGTATATTGATGTGTAATTCGAATGAAGGTCCCCTGATTACATAGAGCTTGGGTCTATTTATAAGAGAGATATTTAATGCCTTTTTGTCCGTTGTTGACGGTTTCGACCGTTACGATGACATCAAAATCGTCATTACGTCGTCATAAATTCTGGTCAGCCATTCGAGTAACCTACGTCATAATTACAACAATAACTCTCATAATATACATGAAACCGCTAGAATTAATCATCTAGCATTAATTCTAATAAATACGTCATTAATTGCCCTGGACAAGCTTTCCATGTTGTCAAATTCCTGCACCAACACTCACACCTTCTACATTTTCAATAAATATGTGTGCAAAATGCAAAAGAAAATTACGGAGTAACAGTTAATTAGTTAGTAGTAGTTATTACAGAATAGATAAAATGATCAAATAGACTCTTTTACTATTTCTAAAAATTCATCACTTAAATCGTTGTACTAAAAAACATCATTGAAATATGCTTACTTTAACAATAGTTCAGTCAGACATTTAATCAATTTTCGACCTGTAATAGTAAGTTTTTATATATTTTTTAAAATAACACGTTGTTTTTATTAAAAATTTCTAACGAATTGTTAAAAGTCATATAAATATAAATAAAATCTCTAAACAATTTTAGAATTTCACTCTATATTTTGGTGCTTTTTTGAAATTATTTTTATTCTACATCTTTTTAAAAGTTTTTAGATTTTAATTTAATATTTTTTACATATTCACTTTTCTCCATTTTCCTGTTTTTTATGTTTATTTGCTTGATGTTCGAAAATTATTGATCTTTTTCTCTTTCATTTATACCATTTTTATATATTAATACTACATTATTGTTTCATGTTTATATGAATTTTAATAATTTTATTAAATTTTCCTCATTTATTTTTTATAAAATTACCTACTATAAGGTCAAAAGAGTAAAATGCATAAATGATCCTTGAACTATCATCATCATATTATTTCGGTTCTCGAACTATTAAATCTATCATTTTAATATTTAATCTATTTAATCTATATTAATCGAGTCCTTTTGTTAATCTATATTTAATTATTTTACCTTGACGGTAACTCATTTATTAACATCTCATAATTTTGACATTTTAGAATAATAAAATTATTCTTAAAATTTAAGTAGCTAATCAAATGTATGGCTTAAATAATACGGAGCATATAAGAGGGGTCTCTAATATTAGAAAAGATAGAGAAAGAAATGTGACAGTAGGGGTGGAGACAGGGATGGGTTGGAGGGGACCTCAGCCCCTGCAAGAAAAAAAATCTTAAGAATGTATTATGTATAAATATTTTTAATCTATAGAAAGTATGTTCATATTTTAAACTTTGGCCCCTGCAATGTAAAATTTTAAGGACGGTCTTCCTTAAACATATATTTCTGACTTCGTCACTGTGTGACGGTAGAAAGGGAGAGAAAAAGAGAGAGTGTCTAGCCAAAAATGGAGACGGTGGTGGCGCAGCCATGGGGACCGCCACAATGACCGGCACATGGTGGCAGCAGGCCAGCAGCTAGAGTTTTTAGAAAACGAGTAGGAACTCATGTTTTTAGAAATTAATTTTTATGATAGTTGAAGAACTATTTATGCATTTTACTTGAGTCAAAATGGGAGGAGTGATTGTTTCTTGAGTCCCGCTTTGTGTACACGCCGGGTTACACGCCGGTCAAATTGTCTGTGTACAGACAATTTGATCAGCTACACATACAATTTGACCGACGTTTAATTAAGAAAATTGATTTTCACGCAGACAAAAATTAAGAGTTGTCTGTATCACATACATTTTAGACGAGATTTTTTCATAAAATGTCTGTGATACAGACAATTTTAAACGAAAATTTTAAACGAGGATTTTAAAATGTTTGTGATATAGACAATTTTTATGTTTGTCTGTGTGAAAATCAGTTTTCTTCATAAAATGCCGATCAAATTATTTGTGTAGCCGATCACATTATCTGTATACAAATAATTTGACCGACATGTAACCCGACGTGTAAAAACCGACTTGTACAAAAGGAATTTCCCCTGTTTCTTACTAGGTAGATAAGAGCATCTTTAATGCTACATTGTTAATACGGAATAAATTTTGACACATGTCAATTAATAAATGGAATGTCCATCCACATCATAGGAGAGAGATTTGGTTAGACATTGAAACTCCCAAATCTGGTCCAATGCTTCGTGTTAACACCCCAACCTCATAATATTCTTGTAAGCCTTTTCTTTTTTAAAAAAATGAATTAAGAATAACCTTTTTGAGTTTGTTTGGGTTTCTCAGACCAGATTGTTAATTGCTTTTGTAGAGGTATGATCTTCCGATCAGATCATATATTTTATAGATGCTTGCTATGGTACCCAACAAAGATAAGAGGGTACCATACCTACGATGCATTTCATTGGTTCAACTCAAAATTTTACATTTTATTTGCATTTAGAGCCCGTTTGGTAGCACGAAAATCGGCTGTTTTGGCTGACTCTGCTGAAATTTATGAAGTTTTGGCTGAAGTGGCTGCATTGGCTGATTCTGCTGATACAAGAAAAAAATAGTTTTAAAATATATTTTATTAATAAAATAAAGAAAAAATTATATGTAAAAATAGCTAAAATGATCATCTACAGTAACTTCAGCCAATACAACCAGAAAAGTAACTCCAACCTTACTTTTTCGGCTTATTACACAATTCAGCGCGCGAAAGCAAAATTTACGCGTTTGGTAAAAAAATTGGCTGATAAGCCCGATAAGCCGAAAATGAGGGTTGCCAAACGGCCTCTTAAATTATTCAATTGAAATTTTTTGATTGGTCCATACCAGGGTACCATACCTTCAAGGTACCATAGAAATTGCCTATTTTATATCTTTCTTTTATAATTTGTAATTAGCCCTTCGAATGAGCAAAAATATACTAGCGTATACAAGAAATCAAAATCTTTCTCCAAGACAAATCTGCTACCTTCGAACCTGTGAAATCAATCCTTCGCTGAACAAATTAAACCCACTACTTGACGAGGATAGAGGTAGTGGTTTATTTATTTTGAGCAAAGTTTTTAATGAGCCAGAGAACTTCCAAGGCATTTTCCAAATTCTTTCGCACAATTTCTCCGTACAATTTTGGTGAGTCAGCATGTCAATGATGTTGTAATCTGAAAACAGTCTGTTTAACAATGTTTACGTTATTTATTTACAAGTCAGCATTACATGACTTTCTACATATTGCATTGGAGATGAAGATAGGTTAACATTGCTGAGCAGTAAATTTTTATTAATGTGAACAGTCTCCCATTGGAGATGCTCTAAGTACTCCTCATATTATACTTGTAGAAGACTAGGTCATGCATTTAAAATAGTAGAAGAGACCAAAGATTGAGAATACAAATCGTCGCCTTCCCGCCTGAACTAAAGTCTTCCCCTGCATTTTATTTCTTCGAGAATGCATGTGCTAATGCTCGGGTTCTTAATTGAGGCCTATTTCTAATCTACATACATTAGAAATTGAGAGCTAGTATTGATCTAATGGCTAGTCATCGTCGTCTACGAAGTAAAACTGCGTCTAATCGAATAAGTCAGCTGCCGGAAGATGTAAAGCACAGAATTCTGGAGTGCTTAACCACTCGAGAGGCTGCCAGAACTGCTCTTCTCTCAACTCAATGGCGTGATGTTTGGTTGCGGCACGATCAGCTTGTTTTTGACTGGAGATTAGGCGAAGATGTGGACGAAGAATGCTCCATTTTGGTGGAAATGATAACTGGCGTTCTTTTGCTCCGTTCTGGACCGGTTAAGAAATTTACGCTGCAGACTTTCTTTGAAGAATCTACTCCTTATAAATCTGATTTAGACCTGTGGTGTCTTTTTCTATCAAGAAATGGTATCCAGAACCTCCAACTCTTTATTGAGCATAATGAAGACGTTGCAGAGAAATACACACTCCCGTTCTGCCTAATTGCTTGCCCTACGATTAAGAATCTGGAACTTGACTATGTGGATTTTTGTTTCCCAGTTAATGCTCGACTAGGTAATATATTTCCGGGTGTCACCTCTTTAATATTCACAAATGTTAGGTTTATGCCTAATGCTACTGGAATTCTCCTTAAGATTCCCAATCTTGAAGAGCTGGTGTTTCATGAATGTGAAGACATTGATAATTTTGTGGTCAGCGCTCCAAAGCTTAAAAGCCTCACTTTCACTAATTGTTCGACCATTATTGAATCAAAGTGGTTTGAGCTTCATTTTCCAGTGATTAAGACTCTTCACTTTTCTGCAAGTTGGTTTGGGGTGAGAATCTTGTCTGTAAAATGTTATTTCCTTTAGAATGAATTGTAATGATACATCTGATTGTTACCTCGTCTTGTAAGAGTCCTTGTTTCAATCAAGGTTAACGATTTGTTTTGTGTAATCTTACTTTTACTTTTAATTAGTGTGAACGTGACAATGAAATAAATGTGCAAGAGAGGTTCCCAATTGCTGTAAATCTGGAAGTGATTGAACTGCACGATTTATGTTTTGTTTGCCCCAAGTGCTTGCCTCTTGTTATTCAATTTCTTCAAAAATGTCCAAAGCTCAGCCAACTGGAAATTGAGATAGGAAATGAGGTTCTAATATCTAACAATTACCCTATGTGTTTGGTGATTAAGATAAGGGTATACGTGTTTTAACATTTCTTTTACATTGTTGTGATGTAGTGGCTGTTGAGAATGGATGATCCAAGTATTTTGGAAAATTCAGACAGTTGGTTTAAAGATCAAGATCTGTGCGAGCTTAAAACAGTTAAGATAAAAGCATTTACAGGATTAAGCGGGGAAATGCTCTTAATAAAAAAAATCCTTTCAAAGTCCCCCGCACTTGAGGAAGTTGTTATTAAAGAATTGAGTAACTATCGTATCGGTGGCCCTGAGCCTCTCAAAATGACAAGGGAGATGATCAGATTTCCTCGCGCGTCTCCAAAAGCACAAGTTATCTTCTTGAACAACTAATAAAGGTATACCAGACTGGCTGATTTGTTCCTGAACTAATATTAGGCTATTTGCAGCAGTTTAGAAGGTGCAGCTCCATGGGTTCTGGTTGTGCATGTACGAGCCCAGAATTTTGGTCGCTTGTTTTGTTAGATAATTGGGATGTACGGAGTATCTAATATTCTTCAATATGGTTTTGTGACTGAAAGTTTCTCCTGTTTTATTTTCATGGTTGAAACTTGAAAGTTATGTGCTCTGAAAATTAGAGCAATGTTATTCCCTTAATATATCCTCATTCCTGACTGTCATCAAATTATACCATATGGAGTATATTTCTTTACACTAGTCCTATTCGAAAACTTTGTCCATGTTTTCTTCTATTTTAGCCATCTCTTTGGTACGTATTTTGTAAAACTAAACGAGTCATATTATGAGCTCATACTACATATTTGATTACTCTTATTTATCTTTCACAAAAACTATTAAAATTAATTATTCTTTTACTCTTATTTCCAGCAATTTCTATTTTTTCTTTCACACAAACTAATGAAAGAATAATAATTTAGAAAACAATTATTTTCTGAATACATGCTTATTCACTACAGTTCATTGTAGTACTTTATCGTCTGGCTTAACAAACTTCATTAACAATGGTGCTGTTTCTTCAATACTTCATTCAATAAGAATGGTTGTAAAAAATTAAATTATACTCCATACTACGTATTTGCAATCATTCATGACCTACAAATAGGACTAGAGAGAGCATTACACTAGTACATATGGAGATATGGGTACAGAAGTACATATCTCGATCAACAAAGAGACCTTATATTTCTAAAGGTTTCAGCTATTACTGAACAAGGAGGCCAAGGAGCAAGCTAAGATATTTACAAGTCACTACCTTTTGACCATATGATAAGAGGCCTAATTAGACTAGTAACCATTAACTAGCAGTTATCGTAAATTCTAATAATGTGGGAGATATCATCAACAATTAGAAAGAAAAAAAATTTGAAAATTGCTCAGATTTTATTTTCATGGTTGAAACTTGAAACTTATGTTCAATGAAAATTCGAGCAATTTAATTCTCTTTATTTATCCTATATGTCATCAAATAACATCTTATTTCCCTACCTTTTATCTGAACAACAATAATGAGTGTTTTAAATGCTCAATGCGCAAGAGCTCATGTCAAATTTAAATTGAATGAAGTAATATGTGTACTATTTTTCGCACCATCCACGTTGATACTTATGTAGTCATATAATATGAGCTCATCCCAAATATTTGGCTTTGTTTAAAGTGAAACAACGCCAAATATCTTATATCCTTTTATTTTGCATTCATGAACAATGGTGCTCCTTCATCAATACTTCACATTGATTTAATAAGAATGGTTGTGAGAATTTAAATTCAATATGCATTGATAATATGTAGTACTTGGTATTAAAAAAATTATACTAGTACTTCACTACTTCGTATTTACAATCATTCATGCCCTACACTAGAGAGGGCATTACACTATTACAAAGACACCTTATATTTCCAAAATAATATTTTCAAAATAATTAAAGACAGATATGAGTAGAAAAGTACATATCTCGATTGACAAAGAGACCTTATATTTCTAAAGGTGTTAACTAATGTGGAACAAGGAGGCCAAGGAGCAAATTAAGACATTCACAATTCACCACACTTTGACCATATGATTAGCGGCCTAATTGGAGGAGTAACCATTAATTAGCAGTTAATGTAAATTCTAATAATGTGGGAGATATCATCAAGAAATAGAAAAAAGAAGAAAAAAGAAAATTGAAAATCTAACAGGACAATCCTATCTTACAAGTTAGTGCCCCTGCAAACCTAGTAATCCAAGTCACTTCCTCCCCTTTGAATGGCCTTATCCCATCATAGAGCTTCGCATGTTTTGAAGTGAACTTCGGGTCCCCCGATTCAACAAAGAATGCTCCATTCATGAACACATCCCCTTCTGATCTCCAAGTCCACTGCCTCCACTCTTCAGGGGTCCCGGATGCTCTATGCGTTACCTACATAATATATAATGTACGAAGTACTAAGTTTCAATTCATCAAACCTACTACGCATGAACGCTCTTGTTAAAGAGTACGTAGTTTTCGTTTCAGAAACTGTACGAAGACTCTTTAAAAGCTCTACAAACACTTGATTTTCATTTACAATGACGTTGCCCATCATCCCACGTTTCATGTGTCACGTTTCCCAATATTGCAACAAAGTAATGAACAAAAGCCATGCATGCATGCATGCTCTACGTGCCATATGATCGATATATACATTGTTAAACAAAACAAAGGTCGTTTTTTTACTTATTTGAATTTGTATTTAGGTACCTCTTTCTTGAAGATGTCTGGAGGAGCAATGAACCGATTGCCCTGACTAATGATGGTGGGGTGAGAACTGCCTCCAATTGCATACATGTTCCAATGAGTGTAATCATTGTTGACAACATGGATATATCCGAATCTGCACCTTGGCATTCTTTGCACTAATCTCTTCCCGAAGTGGTTGAAAGCAATTGTGATTTGCATAATCTCATCTTTTTTGGAAAAATCATTTGCACCGAACAACATCACCTACATCATCACCATCATTAAGTCTTTCCGGTTTTTAATAAGGATTGATCATACACATGTTATAAAAAATATAATGTACCTATATAAAATTACAACCCAACATATTAAACATTATTATGTATAGACCGGTTTAGTTTTATATACCTCGTTGTGGTCGGTGAAGTGGCTGTTTGAAATGGTGATAGCCGTGGAGGCCTCAATGGCATCAATAAGGCCATCGTAGCAATTCTTCATGGAAACATGATCTATCCAAATGTCCGATGAGCCGAATATGGAAATTCCATCGCCATCGCTCACCGTCCGAATCCCGAAGTGTTCGACTGAGTCCCTTACGAGACCACCGGTACCTATGACGATGTTATGAATGTGGATCCCATGAATGATAACATTCCTAATGAATTGGAGGGTGATCCCGGCCCCACCACTAATGTGTACTTGTGCCCCGCGACCATCAATCGTCTTGTCACCTTGCATGATCAGCTCTTGGTGAAGCCTAATGTTCATGTCATGCGCAAAGGTGATCCATAACGGTTCCTTTTGGATCACGGCGTGTCGGAGAGTACCTGGTTTAGGATTCATAGAATCGTCGGAGAAATCCGTGACAACGTAGAACCTCCCGTTCTTTCCACCTTTGGCTTTATAGCCAAAGCCAAGGCCGCAATCAGCCAATCTCTTCCTATTGGTTGCCCAATGGGGATCACAACGCCAACACCGATCGATCGGGTTCGTGGCGTTGCATGGTCCCATATACTTTTTTGTGCCTAGGAGATGTCTTCTTGTACTATTGTCTGTTGCCTCCGCAACTTCATCTTGTGACTCTAGCAATGTCCTGTAACATATTTATATGTATTATACCAATAGAAGAAATTATCAACGTTGTACATATAATAATAAACAAGAGTACAAAGTATGACAAACTTTTCAACTTGGCTATTTAAGGTATTTGTAACATTATGAGGCTCGGGCTCATAAGTCTTGAGGGCGTGATCCCAGGCTTCTATCGCACGCCTTCGCCATACTTCATCGTACTCAACAATGTGACCAAACGTTGGGGGGATTATAAACCCAATAACGACAAACAAAATGGGAAAAAGACTACAATGATTAGAATTTATCTGAAATCCCTTCATTTTAATTACTGGGATTTTTTATAAATATTTTTTGGGGGTTGAACCCGGAGGGTATTTTTGGATCCAACCCTGTTAAAACGACCTATCCGACCGAACCTCAACACAACTTTTATTTTATTTGGAGGTTTGGTCGTAACAATTTATTAAGGTATATAATTAGGTGTTAGTGTTAGTTTAAATGTGTTTATTGAGCTTGTCGTGATTTATATGGGAGTGTGTAACAACAGAAATTGGCATTACCATCCCTTCACTTGCGGTGAAATTCCTCCCATCCACAAAAACAATGAAAATTATTAGCCTTTCACAAAAATATCAATGTAAAATTCTTTGGACAAGGATACACCCAACCTATATCATGACACTGAATATACATTACACGATAGAATGACATGGGTTATACTTCAAGCTAGCTTTTGGAAATATTGGTAGATGAAATGTCTACTTTTTCCATAACTATGACACCAAGACGGATAAAATTAAAAAATCACATTTGTCCGATATTCCAAGTAAATGTTTCAATTTATATAAAAAAACATCGGTGTTTCAATTTAACTAGAAAAAGTAACATATATGATAGAATATTACTAATAGAGTTTTTCAAGACATAAATATGACTAGTTATGTTTTCGGAGAAAAATATAACTAGTCACTATGTATGAGTCACTATAAACTATACTACAAAAAACACGGGATTGACATTGATTTTTGGCAGGAATTCCCCAAAATTGATAAGGATATTGGGAGGGATATGCCAAATCCGTGCCAATCCCATATTTTTTTGCAGCGGTAGTCACTATAGTGTATTTTAGAATGACAAGTAATGGTAGATGACGAGTAACTGTGAACTAGTGACCAAATATGTCACCTTTATGATTTTTTTTAAACAAGTCATATTTTTTCTTTTGAATTTAATTTAGCAATATTAATGAAAAAGGTCATTTAACTATTCTTACTTTTTACTAATTTTTTGCTTTATTTGATCTAAATTAAGTGTTTATTTCAAAAGTCATAACAAAACATTTTATCTTACATAAATATGCATTCAAATCAATATACTTACAACATCAACTACAATACACAAATCATAATACTATTAGTTAACTAATGCATATCGAGTGTCTTGGGGTAAGTGCCCCACTTTTGACTTGAAATTTAATATTAGTACTTATGATAAGATTAATGTCGCCCTATCCAGATTAAAAAATATAACTCCTAGATAAAATGACAATTTCATCAAAGAGCAAATGGTAACTATTGTGAGATATATAATCGACCACAAAGTTGTGATAGAATGATTCTTTGGAGTTAAATTACACATGTTGGTGACACCATTGCATTTTTTTAAAGTTGTATTGATATTAATTTTTACTATATATGGATTATCTATGTCCAAAATTAGAGCTGAGGTTAAATATGGGTGTGTTTGGCAATCGGTTATTGGTTGTTAGCTGTTGGCCGATTGTTTTAGCTGATTGATGACATCGGATTCTGTTAGCTGTTTTGATCAGCTGATATTATTAACAGTTTTTATTAATCGGCTGATAACTTGTTAAATGACCTTAACGGATATCAATTAATTTTTATTAATGTAATTGGTAAATCTCCATTTCTTTAATTAATAATCCATTTCTTTTTTATGAGATGATCATTGACTGAATAACATGAGAGAGAGGGCTACCCCAGTCGAAACTCCTTTATATCCATCTCTGCACATTTCCAGCCCCAGTCTATCCCCACATCTTTCTTCAACCAGAGAACACACCATCAAAATTAGGGACTCTTTCTCAAACAATTTCATTAATATACACTCTCAAAAACAATCATTAATATACAAAAATCCAAGAAGCAGAGAGTACAAAAAGAAATTCAGGTGAAAGAAGAAGTACATTGCAAAAAAATTCCAAGGAAGAGAATCATATTCGCTTTTGCTTTGTTTTTAACTATCGGAGAAGGTTGATTTCTTTTTTTTTTGCTCTTCGATGAACCTGGAAGTAGATTTAGGTTTGCAAGATTTTATTTCGACGGGATTTTTTTCTGCAACTAGGAGGAGATACGGAAAAGGCATGGGCAGGATAGGAAAGATACTGAACAACCGATGATAAACGCTAGGCTAGATGATGTTTAATATTTTGGTTGTGTGATACAAAAGGCCAATCGGAAAAGCTATTTCACCAAACACTTTTATTAACTGATTGATCTGGTCAAAAGACTAAATATGGTCAAATCAGTCAAAAAATAGCTGATAGGCTCTCAACCAAACACCCCCTATATGATGAAGCTTCTAATATGTGAGTGGAGATTAATGGATTGAACTTTTACCTTGAATGAAAATCCATACATGATACATGAGATATATTCATTGTTTTGTGAGTTGAGCTTAGGGTCTTAATGGATTGAAAACTTTGTAATAAAGTCATTATCACTCACATGTTTAGCATGTCTTGGTCTTAATTAAAGATAAATTCTCAAGTTTCTGTAAGTCAAAATTATTGAGCCTTGCGGAGTTATACTCATGCAACTTTTCATTTGATCATCAAATGAAGCTTAAGAACCAACTTCAAGTGTGGATATAAAATATATATGAAATGAGAAGGTGAGGACATGAGGATGTTTTCAAATACATATTATAAGGTTTCATTCCAGGTTCTAGTAGTGACAATTTTATTATACTTTTAGGGGTGGACATATCGATTTAGTTTAACTGAACTGAACTAAACCGAATCATATGCAATTTGATTTAAGTTTGGTATACTTCTTCCAAACCCTATTAAACTGAACCGAACCAAAATCTAGAAAAACCGAATAAAACCGAATTGAACTAATGAAATTCAATAAAACCTTCATATATTATTAAAAATAACAAATCCAAACCGAACTAAACCGAAGCAAACCAAAAAATAATGATCCCTCCCTATTTAAAAAGTTCCTTACACTTTCCTTTTTGGACAGTATTTAAAAGTTCCCTACTATACACTTTCTCTTTTTGTTAAGTTTTTCCTATAAAAGTACTCAATTACCCTTACCTTTTCTACCTCTTATCCCCCCTTCCTACTTTTTCACCTTCTCTCCTACTTTTTTATACTATTCATTACCCCTACTATTCTCCCTTATATCTTGTACCATAACCTAATGTATGGATCTTTAAATACGGAGGGAGTGATTTTTGTTTGGTAATAATGCATCCAACCCCTTTCGAGCCGAACCAAAATGAAACCGATAAAAACCGAATCATAAACCAATATGCCTACCCCTATTATCATTGTTTGACATTTTTTCCCATTTTACTGTTCAGCTGGTGCTGGGGACCCTTAGGGATGAGGTGTCATCTTTTTTGTTTAGCATTTTTATGTTTTGAAATAATTGTTGTCGGTCACTGCCACCTCGTACTCATTGAAAGTATCCATCCTTTTTATCAAAATTGTTATCACAATAACATTTTTTCCAAGGGTTTTTTATAAAAATATCACTAAAATAAAACTTATTTACACAAATATGAACAATAGTTACTACAATGTAGTGTCATTGTGATTTCATTACTACTTTAGTTACTGGTCATATTTTTGTAAAAAAAAAAATTGTTGGGGAAAACACACGATACCCGGACCTCTTCAGGGATCACAATCTTAGAGAACTATTGCACACTCACACACTCGCAATACAAAGGCTCCAACTGGCAATATCATTTTATATTATACAATTGAAATGTACAAGAGAGATTTATAAGTAAACGAGTAGCTCATTTCACTCTTTGTATATTAGACTACTTCACTCTCACTCACCTCTCTAAAGGAGAATCTAACTCACTCAAGAGCTTTCCTTGAAGCTCTCTCACTCAACACTGAAAGAGGCTCTCACAAGGTTCTCACATTCTCACTCAAGGCCTCCTGATAGGAATGAGGAGTCTCACCCCTATTTATACTACTCTCCTTAAAACTTCTCTATAACTTTTTTATACTCCACTACTCATCTAGAGTCTTTCAAGAAGTATCCACAAGTTTCTCCAATCATCTAGAAGGATCTAGAGGACTTCACATTTCTTTAGAATGTTGTAGAGGCTTCCACATGGTTCTAGAGAATTTCACGTTTCTCTAGAAAATTTCACAATATTCTAGGATATTCTACACTCTTCCACACGCTTCCAGATAATTCCAAGTCTCGCTGGAAAGCTTTAAAATATCCTAGAACATTCAATATTTCTCTACACGCATCTAGAAAATGGTAGACATCTCCGTAATATTCTAGAATTCTCATTAACTTCTCAATTAAGTAAGGAAACCAACAATTTTAATCATAAATATGTAATTATTTTTTATCAACATGACATTCTTTTCCGGCGAGAGGAGATGGTGATGCTAGAAAGTAGAAAGTGGTAGAGGCGGTGGTTGGAGCCTTTTTTTTTGGCTTTTTACAATTTTTATTTTAATTTCTTTATGTTTAATTGTTACGGAGTATTATTTTAGTATTCCTATTAAGAATGATGATGATAAGGGAAAGGGAATGTGAAGAGTAAGTTTGGGAATTTATGCAACATTTCATCTTAAAAAAGCAAATTTGCTAATCCATAAGATCTACTGGTCAAACGATGCTCATGGACCTCATGGTCATGAGAAGGTCGTGAAGAACGAAAACAACAAATCCTCTGTCATTTGTCACAAGTCAATAAATCAGACCAACCAACTACGCGCAACAAGTAAATCCAGACGATAAAATACTCATTAAAACATCCTTTTCTTAACATTTATGGGAAGAGAATCCAATGAGAGAGTTGGTGAGGTCGAAATTGACACGCGTCCCCTGCTGCTGCACGTTTCCGATGATCGACATTGAGGAAGACGAAGGAGCAAAGGCGAAGCAATAAGTCCCCGACGAGTCCACCGGAATCAGATAATTCGCCGCCGGTAACTGTAACCTATTCACGTCCGCGAAGTGAAACGACACCGTTGGAACTTCTACGCTGTTTAAGTTCGACAAATCGTAACACGTGTCGAACAATGCAACGCCATTGGTTGACTTCAGGTGGCGCGTTCCCTTCACGAACTCGTCTCGGACGGCGTTGTAGATATCCGTTTGCAACCGGGTCACTGCTGTACCGGAATCCACGATAAATCCGCCGTTTCCGTCGTCGGTTAGTTTCAGGGAGGGAGGAATACGGATCAAATTCCCGGCGACGCTAACCGCCGTCAGGTCAACGTAGTAGAACGTGTCCATTTTCGAGTTACGGATCAACGGAGCAGTGACGGCGTCTGGAGGAGCGACCGAGCCGAACTCGAGAGTTGAGGACGAGTCAGAGTCTCGGTCCACGAGGCAGTATGAGAATGAGGAGACATTGATCTGAGACGGAAATGACAATGCGCCGCCGCCGAGGCCGATTAGGCCGGCGGCTCCGACGAAGAGACCTCTGTTGCTATGTCCGCAGCCAATCGCGACATTTTTCACCGAAGACGACTCGCGGAAGGTTATGGATTCCGTCACAAGGTCTCCGACGGTGTAAGATCCGTCTCCGTAGTTTACCTGGTAGAGACACTGGTTGTTCCGGCACTCCGAGACCTCCAGCGATTGACACTGCCTGGCATCGCAAGTGACCGGCGAGTAAGTAGTAGACTTCGCCGGATCGAAAATCGGATTAGATTGCCGGTAACAGTCGGCGCAAGGAGTGCACTGGAGCCAGTTAACGTCACTTCCGGTATCGAGCACCATGTAAACCTGACTCGGCGGGTGACCGATTCCAACTTGGCAGAAGTACTCGCCGCTGCCCTGGCTTGTTCCGGAAATAATGGGCACTTCCAGCTTCCCGTCCTGCATCTCCAACTCCAGAGGCTCCAGATCTGCTTTTGAAATCCCGTTAAGCGCCAGATCTAGTCGAGTCTGAAGAGATTGCACTCGGGCCGAGTCGCGCTCGAGTCGAGCTAATGTGAGTGCCCTGTAATCCCTCTCCGAGGTTGGCCTCACGGACAATCTAGGGTGCAGTGCGAGGGAGAAGGAAGACGACGAATGAAAGCTCTGTTTCTGATCTTCAATGGATTTCTCTCCTTGAGAAGTGGCCTTGAACACACTGAGGGTTTTCTGGATAGAAGATGGAACGTGGAGCGACGTCGTTCGTGAGTCGTCCAGGATTACCCGTGAAAGAACCGGTGTTACAAGACAAAGAACGAAGACAAGGAGAATATATGAAAGGCCAGCCATCGGAGAGTTGAAGTGGGGAGAAATGACGAAGTCACAACGGCCGTCTATGGCTGTAGTAGGCCAAAGCCTTTAGAGTTCAGATGTGTACTATATTAACAGCGAGGTAGGGGAGTGTGGGACTAGCTATTATGCAATGATCCAAAGGTTGGAATCTTTGAATGGAAGAGTCCCACCCGACCTGACTCGACATGATGGTGGAGAGGTTAGTCACGGTGACTAAGTGGACAAAATGGTAGTAGACTCATACATCCGTGCCCATCAGAGACTCATCCTTATTTCAGATTTTGTGACATCCACCCGGTGGTCGTTGTGGGGATTCGAACCTTGGTCCATTGATTCAAATCTCTCACACTAGCTATTATGCATAGAATTGGCTTTGGTGCTTTTTTAGGGAGTCTAATGCACCAAATCCAAATATAAATCCGCCGCATCAACTGATTTAAAAAATGCATCAAATCCATGTGTTATTGTTACTTATGCACTGAACTCTTTCTATAAATAAATTTAATTTCTAAAAATGAAGAATGATTACTTTTTGGTCTAATTTAGAAATTTTGATAAATTTACTTGCATATTCAATCATATTATTAAGTGATGGTTTTTAAAATGTAAAATGGAAAATTGAATTTAAATAATACCAATTATCATCGTAAACCAATAATAATACATACTATTGAAATACGGAGTAACACTTTTATAGCCAAACTTAGGGGTGGGCATAACGGTTCGGTTTGACCGAACCGAACCGTACCAAGCCGAATTAAACCAAATCGAAATTGAACCATTTGTAATTTGGTTTGAGTTTGGTAGTATTCCTCCCAACTTGAATTAAACCGAACCAAACCGAACCAAAATCATAAAACCGAATAAAACTGAACTAATCCAAAAATGAAATAATTTCTTATTTTTTTAAAATAACAAATCAAAACCAACTTACACTAAACTAAACCAAACCAAAATATAAGATTTCTCTCATTAATTTGATTGATGTTAATCTTTTTGAAGCTTTAATTCTTTAATTTTAGTGTTCAGGACTAGAGTTTACTACAAGAGTTACATTCACAAATATAACTATTATAATGGTTTAAGTAGATAGTATTTACCTATTACGTATAATTTATTACCTACTACTACTATATATTTGGTTCATTTATTAAAGCTAGAATGTACTATTCATTTATTAAGGCTCCAATTTATTACTTCCTCCGGTCCTTGATTAACTTTACACTTTCCTTTTTCGGTCATCCCATATTAAACTTTACACTTCCTTATTTGCCTTATTTGGCAAACAAATCTACACCAAACAGTGCAAAACAGTGTCAAACAGTGCTAAACAGTGTCAACCAGTGCCAAACAATGTACTCTACAGTAAAGTCATATTTATTTCCTTAGTATATGTGAAGTCAAAGTGTAAAGTTTAATGAGGACCGGAGGGAGTATCTACTACTACCAATTTTGTACTTAAACCACTAAAAGATCCTTCTAGCTTTTGTATTATTTAAAAAGTATTTAAAAAGTTCTAGTTGTATGTTTGTTAAGCCAATTTATAAGAGCTTTTATAAAAATAAAATATCTTTTTGAGATTCTATAGTGAGTAGCATCTCAGATAAGTTCGTAGTTTCTAGAATTAATTAGTCCTAACAGCTTGTATACCAAACAGAGCTAAATCAAATAGTCGACTTTAATGGTTACTTTAAGTAGTATTTTCATTCACTAAAACCTAATGGTTACTAAAAGGAAAATGCTTAGTGTACATGAGTTGTACACACAAAACCCCCTAATTGACTGTGTACACAGACAATTCATTTAGAAAAGGACAGAATTTGATACCAGCTGTGTACACAGACAAGACAATGTACATATTTTGTGTAATGTTGTGTACCCAAGCATGGCCCTTACTAAAAAGTTCGTATCAGTGCCAAATTTGTATGCACACGAAGAGCTGAAGTGATTTGTGGGGTTGCGAGCCAGAGTACAGAGAAGAAGAATGAAGAACAGTTACTCGATTGGAGTTCAGCGCGAGAGTTTGTCAGTCTCGGTCATTGAAAACGAACAAGAAAGTGGAGACTCGTTCGCTCGTTCGCGCTTGACAAGAGAACAGGGTAAGCATACTATCTTGTTTGATTTCGAATAGGTTTTTCATTATCTTCCTTTTTAGGGGTTTCATTGTCTTAATATGAATTTTGGCTTTTAATGCTACAATTTCTTTTTGATATGCAACCATATATGTTGAGTATATTGTCAAGTTTTTTATACGACACCAATCCCCCACAAGATGAGCGAAAATCACTTAGATTATGGGCTTGTTCAAAATGATTCTGGAAATAACCCTCTTGAGGATGAAAAGATGGTCTTTGAAGATTCTGATAGTTGTAACTCGAGAGATGAATATTAAAGCATGAAAGTACATGATGAAAGTGAAAGCGAAACTAATGAAGAACATTATATGGTAGTCTCTGAAATGGATAGTTCTAATTCTGACGAGGAGTTCGAAATGACTAGGCAAAGAGCTAAAGAATACATATTGGAAGTTGAGAAACAAGAAAAAGAACAAATCAGTGAGTATGAAGATTCGGATGGTGAAATGATGCCCATCACTGAAGATGATGAAAGTCTGAGGAGCGAGAGATGAAAAAAGAGCATGGCTTTGAATGAAAAAAAAAACGATTGCAAGAACTTTGAATGGAAAGTTGGTATGCAATTTCCAAATATGAACTTTTTCAAAGAAGTTGTGCAAAGGTATGTCATTCTAAATGGTTTTAAATTGAATGACAAACTGAAGGGAAAGGTTGTGGTGGGTTGTGTGTTAGGATGCTCATTCAAAGTCTACGGATCATGGCATACCAAGGAGTTTTGTTTCATGGTAAAGACTGTTAACAACGACCATAAGTGCATGAGAGATATGAAGAAAAATCACCAACTTACATGTTACATCTAAATGGATTGCTAAGGAATATCTTGGTCACTTCAAGGATAATCCTCACTGGCCAGCTTCTAAAATAATAAAAAGTGTGACAAAGAAATATGATGTGATTGTAGAAAGGTGGATTGCATACAAAGCAAAAAAAATTGCCAATAAAATGTCACATGGCTTGGTGAAAGATCATTATAACAAGATTGGAAGCTACATCGAAGAGTTAAAAAGATCAAATGAGAGAAGTGCATTTGAACTGCTTACGATTCCATCAAGTTCTGATGTGTTTCAGAGGATGTTTGTATGTTTGCAAGGATTAAAAGATGGATTCATTGCAGAATGTATAAGATTTATATGCTTAGATGGGTATTATCTTAAAACATTTCTAGGCGGAATGTTACTTGTTGCAGTAGGGATAGATGGCAACAACCAAATGTTTTCAATTTGTTGGGTTGTTGTTGAGGGGGAGAATATAGATAGTTGGGAATGGTTTTTGAATCACTTAAAATCTCAATTGAATGGAACTGATGGACAAGTATGGACTTTCATGTCAGACCATCAAAAGGTTAGATTTTTATAAGTTTGATTAGACATTAAGTTGTTTCTTTTATGAAAGTAACAAAGATATTCTAGCCTATGTTATGTACATGGTCTTCTCGCTGCATCTGCCTCTGTTTTCCTTAAGGGGTTTCACAGAAATTGTGCAAGGCACATATATACTAATTGGAATAAGATGCATAAAGGAGATGAATTGAAAATGTTGTTATGGAGAGCGCTAAAATCATATAATGAACCTGACTTTGAAGAAGCAATTCAAGAACTTAGGGCAATCTCTGCTCATGGTGCTGATGATCTTTTGAGACAAAATCCTGAAGTCTTCTGTAGGTCATTTTTCTCAACTGATAGCAACTGTGATGTGGTAGTGAACAATCTGGCAATAACAGTTAACACATACATTCTCAAGGCTAGAGGAAAACATATTATTGATATGCTTGACACTATCATGAATTTATTGATGGAAAGAATGGCTATGGAGCAGGGACTGGTGGAAGGAAAAGTAACTGATGCTATTTGCCCTAGAATAAAAGTGGAACTAGAGGAAGTATTATTCAGTATTATACATGCACTTCTAAAATATAGGATTTAACATGTAACACCGCCCCCGAGTATTTGTACTTTATCAAATTATGTATTAAACCCTGAGAAATGAATAAAAGCATTTTTATGTGGTTGTAAATTTTTATCATTTCTTTTACGTGAATAATAAAATTCTCGTGGGGCCCACACCGGAAGTGGGGGCCGCCCGGTATTGTCTGGACCACATATTATATTAATCTTGGCCTATATAATATGTATATGGTGGTGGATATCCTAATAGGGCCATGGCAGTGGCATAGGTTTGACCGGTTGGTCAAACAGGGCCAAATTATCAGTATCAACAATTTATCAGATAACGGCCCGAAAAGGAATTTCGGAGACCTCTAAATTAAAGTTGAGTGATGTTTATTCATTATAAAGTCTAATAATGATGGAGAGCATGTGCGATATTTTATTTGACCCGATAAAATAAAATATAATTGAAATAGTCCGGAAAATACAACTTTCGGGACCGATTGTTCACTCGGGGACACAAAGGGTTGACCTCCCACATAAGTGGGGACCAACCCACGAGAATACCTCGTCAAAGTGAGCTGGGAGGCGTGGAAAATGGATGTGAGGTGGGAGGAAGTTGGTTTGAGATGATTGGCATCATACAAAACATGGGGGACCTCCTTCCCATCACTCATTGCTCAAATGAGCCAAAAAGGGTATTCCTACCCATCCCCCTCCCACTAACTCGGCCAAGACCAAGGAAATGAAGAAAGGAAGCTCTGAAACCCCATTCTTCCATAGCCAAATCCGAGCTAAGCCCAAGGAGGTCAAAGTCAGGAATTTAAAGAAGAAGAAGGAAGGAAAAAGTAGGGTGGTTAAGGTAATGAACTCATTTTAACTCTTCCTCTACTCTTTAACTACCATATGACTTATATGTTATATGGAGGATCCCTAGAATTGTTCTACATGTTTAGAGAAGTAGAATGAGAGGTTGGAAGATGGTTCTAAGTCCAGGAACGGACTTAGAAGCCAAAGTGACCGGTTCGCCGAAAAATAACCTTTTGAAGGTTATTTGTATC